CTATTCCTGAAACCGGAACACCCCCCTTGCAAGGCTCGGAGCGAGCACCCCTTCAAAAAGCGAAACCCATCCGAAACCAACCCTGCACCAGGGAGGGTTTGAGGGAGGCGGGAACAACCCTAAACCAACCCCAAACCCAAACAACAAGGGATGTTTCAAGCTTGAAACACACCTTCCTGACGAGGTTAACGTTCTTGCCGGTGAAAAGGGAAAATGAAGGAACCCACCCACAAAAAAAAAGGCTAAGAGCAAAAAGCTTCGGCCAACATTTGGCAATGACATTGATTCAGCCCACCTCCCTCCCCAAAAAGGCGGAAAAACCCAGAACACACATGGGCCAGGGGTCGTTGTTGAGGTCATGTGTTCCTGCGCCTAAAAAGCATTTGCTGCTCTTTGTTTAAATATTTTCCGGGCTCACGAACCAAGAGCCTATGGAGAGAAGAAAAAAGAAAAGGCCACCTGGCTTTCCTTCCGAAACCTCTCCCGCAGCGTCTCCAAGCCAACGAACGAACTCCGATCCCCGCGGCACCTATCCCCGCCTTTCGAGGCCTCCCGTTTTCCATCCGGGGCCTCCGAACCATAGGTGTCCTTCTTGGTTGAAAATACGGTGGATGGACAAAATCCATCCAACGCACCACCTAAGAAACCCAGGCATGATTCGATTCCCCTGTAAATGCCAACAAAACAAGGGTTTCAGCCATGGCTTCAAAGTGGTGCGAAATGGACTTCGTCCATCCACAGTAGGTGGGTTTCCCTGGCAGTTTTTCTTGAACCACCAGGTAAACCAGGAATCGCCCGTGTTTCGACCAAATCAACCGCAAAGCACACCTGTTAGGTCCTCCAGTAAAAAGGCTAGAATAAGGGTACCCTTTCTTTTTTCTGTAGTCCATTTTAGCAGGGGAACCCAAAACCGACCAAAAAAGCTACGGCAGAAGTTGGCACCAATCGCTGGGGCACCTAGCCAGGCTGCTCCGAGCTCGGCTTCGGCCTCCGATCCCCGCGCCTCCACGCCGCCCTTGGCCGCCAGCTTGGTGGTGCCGCGCTGGCCCAGGTACATGTGACTCAGGCCCCGGTGGGCACCCTTGGACCAGGGGTCCGTGGGCGCCTGGCGTCCCCGAAAGCCAAGATCCGAGTCGAGTCGCCGGCGAAACCGGAAACCCGGCCGGCTGTGCTTTTGGTGCCCAGAAAAGGGGGCGACTGGGCTGTCCGCCTTTTTTCTTCCGAGACCAACTTTGTTTGACCCTGAGAATCTGAAAAATCCGAAGGGGACGACTGACTGTTGGTGGGTTAAATACAGAACTACTACTAAACCCACGCAAACCTCAAAATATGAGAAATCGGACAGGTGAGATCACCCTTGGACCAACTGATAGTTTGTGGAAACCACCAGTAAATTGCAACTTTTGAAGGGGGAACTTAGTGACCCCGACATTCATGAAAAACTTTGTTCTGGTGGCACCTCAAGCAATGGAAGCGCAATTCATGGGCCACTCCTGATCTTCGAGGTCCTTGATCATCAACTTGAAGTTGAGAGAAGGCAGGGCTCTAGAACGCATGCTCGATGTTTTGAACATCGGCCCCGTGTCCAAGGTGTCCTTGTGAGCCATGTGGAGGTTGCTCGCAAACCATGGGCCGCGTCTACTTTCTTGGGCCTCAACCCAGAAAGCCTCACACCCATGAGAAAGGAAGGTACACGCCCTTGAACAATTTGAACAACTGGGTTCTTGGGCTGGACTGTTCACCCAGCACCCGTTCGCTTCGATTCAGGGGCATTTCCAGCAAGAGGCTTGTGGAGGTACGGATGCTTGCCGCTAATATTTCAGCTTGTAACGCTGCTAGGTCCTCCAATAGAGAGGGGAACCTCCCCAAAAAAAGTTACGGCAAAAGTTGGCACCTAGCTGGGGGACCTAGGCACAGATCCAACATGGCTGTGGCTCAAAAAACCGGTACCAAATTGGAACCCTGGTAAGTGGAAACATGGACCAAAACCTGCGTAACCCCCCCTGTCCCCTGTTTAATTTTGAGCCACACCCACATCTGTGTCCCTGAAAACTACGAACAAAGATGTCCCACCCCTCGAAGCGAGGCGCTTAATAACTTAAGCGCGCCTTCGGGTTCAGGTCCAGGCGGACGTAGCAGAGCTCGCTGATCCAGCCCATCAAGTTGCCCTCCTGGAGCAAAGCAACAAAAGTACCATCGCTCTAGTCTGCCCAGCCCCGGAACCGCCTGGAACCGAGTCTCCGGAACCTCTGAAAAAGTTGGGCCTATCCACCCCAAAGTGTCCAGCTGTTGGTTGGACAAACCTCTGGGGCTATCTTCCATTTCCGCTCTTTCCAGTCCCTGAATTCTTTTCAGGAAACCATCCAAAAACCCAAAGAAGCAGATCCGGTTCTTGAAAAGAACCATGGCTGAAAAGAATGGACAAGGAATCAACTGCTAGATCCGCTCCCCTTCAAACCAGCTGCAGCTCTTTCTTTCCAACCCCTGGTATGGAAGGAAAAAACTATGGCTTTTAAATCTTTGCCGCCCCCTGCTAAAAAAATGAGCAGAAAAGGAGAAAGACATGCTAAAAACCGTCAAGACATGCCAACAGTGAAGAGCAATGTTGACCCAGGATTAATAAACCCGTCCCATTATTAGGGGGTGTTCCCTCCAAAAGTGGTCTGACTCCCCACTAAAAGGGGACACCCCCCGATCAAAATCCACCAGGCGTTCTGCTTAATCCGGGGTTAACATTAGACTGCTGAGTCCCGACCAACTTCCAACTTCCTCTTTTGTGTCCGAATGCCCCCCACCCACTCCCGGCACTTTCCTCGCGCTTCAAGTGGAGCTAGCTGCTGGGAAAAAAAAAGACCTGCTGGGATAAAAAAAGAAAAAGACGAGCCATGGATTTGTTTATTTAGAAGAAAAAAAGAGAAAAACACCAGCCATTTGCCGAGACATGCTCCGCTTTGAGGCCCCCAACTTGGCGCAGCACACCAAACATGTGTTCTGGTTTCCTTTGGGTGTGTCTCAAAATCGGGGGGCCCCAAAAATGACAAGGGTTTCCTGTTGGCTTCCCTTCAAAACCAACCAAAGGGGGTGTCCCTTTAAACAAACCAGATCTTTGTCATTCATTGGTGATTTGAAAAGGCGGGGCCCCGTCACATCAAAATTCGGGGGGACAACGAGGCCAGCAACTCCGCAGCCATATGGCTGTCTACCTTTTGATACCCCAGTTGAAGGACGTTGATTTAGACCAAATCCTTACCAAGCACATAGTTGTTCGATGTATCCCTGGAACCCTGAGGAAAATGGTCCAAACCATTTGAGGTTCCATGTCGGAGGGTAAAAAGGTTCTTTCAATTGCGGCTGAAAGCATGGTTGAACCGCTGAACCGACGAATCACATGCCCCCGAATAAGAAAGGACGCCTAAACAATACCCAACAAGAAGGCTGGTTGCAAACCCCAATCGAGTGGATTGGCAAAAAAAGGTCGGAACTGCTTACTTGCCATTGAAATGATCCTCCCAAAAAGTGACGGAAGTCCGAAATGGAAGAAACTCCCCTCCTCCAATGAAGCAACAAAAAGGAACAGCTCAGCAAGCCAGCCGGGTTTTAGGAGTGCCAGTGGAAACTCTGAAAAGCCAACACCCCAGGTGCCCAAAAAAAACGCAAGGGTCCACCATACCTCCCCGTGATCCTGACTAGGTCCTCCAGTAGAGAGGTTAGAATAAGGGTACCAACTTTTTTCATACCACTACTGGGGGACCCAGTTAAAGTGAACCACCCTACCGAGATCGCGCAACTTCAGCGCCCTCCGTCCCCAAAACCGTCCCCAAAACCGCCCCGATTGGGCCGAGTCGACGAGTCCGAGTCCTTCTCTGTTGTTCAGTGACCCGGGAAAATAAGGGAACCCTTTTTGGGGAAGACCATTTGTACAGGGATCCTTACATTGTACACCTGAAGATTGCCTTGTAAATGGTGGTTTCCCCTTATTTTGGTGTTGAAAAAGCAACATGTTTCGCATGGTTGCAACACGTATCTTTTCAGGAGCCCGGACTAAAAAGGTCCTCAAAAACCTAACAGAACCGCACGGCTGGGAACCTCCAAGTGAGCTCACTGAGGTGTTTACCCCCCCACAAGCCCTGTTTTAGTGGGGCAGCCACCCAACAAACAAGGAAGGTACAAGACCTGGCGCCGCTTCAGCGCGTCGAGTCCTTGTTGGCGTAGCCGGCACCCTCGGAGCTGCCCATGGAGATGCCCATGACGTTGCCGTCCTCGGACCGCATCGATCCATCCCACCGATCCCGTCCCGCTGGTCCCGGGGATCCGTTTCTTCAGCTTCGCACCACAAAATGAAACCAGGGTGGAAACCATAAGGTTGGTGGGTATTTACGTTGGGGAATCAGCATTCCAGGGCTTCTTGGGTGCAGGAGTTCGTCCACAGTAGGGGTCCTTTTTGGTGGAAAATAGATGGCGCCGGGGCTCAAAAAACCAGAAGGAATTCCAAAAAGGGCGCAAGCCCGATCGGTAAGTGGAAACATGGGTCCTAAAACCTGCGGTTTGCCCCTCCGATCGTTTAATTTTGAGCCACACCCAGATGGGTTGCCCTGGTAGCTTTTCTTGAACCACCGGGTAAACCAGGAATCTTCCTCTTTTGTTCGACCAAATCAACGAGAAAGGACACCCATGGACACAAAACGGCAAACCCGCCGAGCGGGTGGGCGGGATCCAAGGAAAGGAAGCCAAACTGTTTTTTGCTGCCACACAGCCATGGTGAACCTAAACCCCACCAAAGGTGTAGTCCAAACCCAAAAGAGGTAAACCATGCGAAACAAACAGTTCCCCCAACCCGGGTTTAGTCACCCATGGTAAAACAAAAACAAGTCGTCCGTCCCCCCCCAAAAGAGGCAAACCGTTTCGCTGACACACCACCAGGGTCCGTCCGTCTGCCACCACCAGCCCCCTGGTTCCAGTTCATCAGGGGCCTGTTGCCTGTGCTCCTACCTAGACAAAAGGAAAACCACCAATTCCATTCCCCCCCCCAAAAAAAAAAAATGGCACCCCCAGGTAATTCTCTTGCGTACTTTTGGAGGAGACCTCACCAACCCCACTGAAATACACACCATGCTTGGTTGCTGTTGACCCCTCTGCAAAAAGCTCAACTCTTTTTGCGGGTTTAGTGGAATTCCCAACTTGATTTCAACCAAGATGTTCTAAAGTCTGAAGATCCAACCCAACAGCAGTCAAGGGTGTCCTTTTGGCTTCCCTTCAAAACCAACCAAAGAGGTTCCCCCCCCCCCAAAAAAAAAGAGAGAAAAAACTTGTCATAAAGCACCTGGCCCCCCGCGGCTCTTTTTTTTTTGGGGGGGGGCTTCGCGCCTTGATCTTCTGCACCGCGGCCAGGGCCGTGACCTCTCCGTCGTTGATGACCTTCAGCGGCACGTCACCTGGGCGCCAGGTGGGTCGATCGCATCGTGGTCCTCCAGATTTGAGAGCCTGGAAGAAGGGCACCGTTTTCCTTTTCCCCCGGTCGATTTTAGTAGGGGAACCCTCCCCCAAACAAGTTTGGTACAGCATCTCTCCAAATGGGTATGGCTCAAAATGAAGCCGCCAGGATATGGACCGCAGGTTGTAGTCCTTTCCATTTACCAGGGTTCCATTTGGGGTACCTATTTTTCACCCACAGCCAAATCTGGGTATGGCTCAAAATGAAAGCGCCAGGGCAAACCGCAGGTTTTGGTCCTTGGGTTACCCATTTGCCAAGGCGCCAAAAATTGGTTTCCATGTTTTGAGCAAAGCAGCCGAAAATCGAAGTGCGGTCCTCCAGCTTTCGCATCCCCCCAAGTGCATAACAAAACATTGCTGCACAGAAAGAACATCTCGGTTGCTTTCTGCTCCCCTGCTAAAAGTTTAACTTTTAGTGGTTTAATGGAAAACCCATTAGTTGGCAAAAAGTTAAACTCCTAACATCCAAGCAAAATGCACCAAAGACATAACAAACATGGTTGCAAATAATCAGAACATGATCTTTGAAGGGCTTCCTGGATCGCCACTTGCAATCGTTTTTTCCCATCTACTTTACCCCAAAAACCACCAACAGTGACTGACAACAAACAGCAGCTTGGCTATCTAGGTTGGTCGTGGGGCTCGCTGGTGGCAAGGAGCCTTACGGAGCTTCCGGGTCTGTAAGGACCTGGTGGTGCATGTTTGGCAGCTATTTGTGAGTGGATGGGTAGATGTTTGCTGGGCTCTTCGTTTTCCGATCACTTGCTAAAAATCGAAAACTTGTGGTGGGTGAAATACGGAAACTGGAAGTCTGGGCTGATCCAACTTGATCCAACTTTGGCCTTGCCCCGGCTCCAAATGAAATGGTCCGAACCGGCAGAAGCAAAGCAACTACAAAACGTGCCATGCACGATGAAGAATCTGATTGCCTGCCGTTCCAAGGCAGAAAATCATTCAAACACTACGAGTGTCAAAAGTTGGCAAAACACGAACATGGCCGACGTTCGAAATGACAGCTGAAAGTCGCAAAAATAAGTCAAACTGGCAAAACACCGTGGAAACCACAACATGTCAACATGGGTCATCCCTGGAACCAGTTGATAAGTTTGCAAGCGCTCCCATTGGTACCAGGGGAAATGACCTTAACATCATCCCGAAATACACACAAAACCGGCCCCACTCTCTGCCGTTCCCAACGTCAACCCCTGAGTAGTGGGTTAAACGGCAACAACCTCTGCTGCTAGCAGCCGACTTTGTGAAACCATGGATTTGGTGCAGCTGCGAACCCACTGCAACGAAGCCTCCAGCAGAACATGGTCCGGAAAGCAATAGGGGCCTTCCCCCCCCCCAAAAAAAAAAACAAAAGAGCTTAACGCAAAGTTTAAAATAATAATAACAATAATAATAATAATCATGATCATAACATGAAATAATAATGAAAAAAAGAAGACAAAACCAGAAAATGAAGAAGAATACAAGAAAGCACGGGGGCCCGCCGCAAGATCAAACAACACCCACCCAAAGGAGCGGCCCCAGAAGGAAGGCGAGCCGCCGGCAATCTCCTTGCCCAGGCGGATGAAAATGTCCACCACCTTCTCCTGAGGGGGATCGATGAGCAGGGGAATCGAGGAGGATAAAACCAATAGAAAGTAATTGTGGCACATGTATTAATATATTTATATATATTGTAACAATCAGTACTTCTGTTGTCAAGTGGCCGGGGGGGGAGTGAGGGGGGGGAGAGGGGTTTGACATTCGTGGGGGAAAAACCCCTCAAAGCCAGTGGGGACAAAAAGGGGAATCGTCGTTCTTGCGGAAACTCTGGGCGGGAAAGGGGTCGAAGCTAGGGTCCATTCCAAGTCTCCGAAGCCGCGAGTCGCTTTCCGGGGTCGGAGTGCGGGCTTCCAACGTCTTGTGAGGTGCCCTTGTACGTAAAACTCACACTACCAGGTTCTGAGGGCTGTCCATTTTCAGATCCCCTGCTACCAGCGGCGCAAACTGCTTGTGGGTGAAAGGCGGAAACTTCCCCCAAACCTAGGTCCTCCAGTAGAGAGGTTGGAAAGGGCAATCATGAGGGACCTAGCAACTAAAAGCCACCTAGATAGCCAAGTTGCTGCTTTTTTCAGTCACTTTTGCTGGTTTTTGGGGTAAAGTTCATGGAAAAAAGCAGCAACTGGCGATCCAGGCAGTAAGAAGCTCAGGAACCGAATAATTAACTGGGAGCGGAGCCACCGAGCTGAAACGGAGGTGGCCGTATTTGGGTAGGAAAAGATGGATGAGCTTCGCTCAGCTTCCGTGAGAGACGTGCTCGGACTCGATCTCATATTCGGTCTACGAAAAGAAAGAGTTGGGGCAAAAACAGTTGTTGGGTAGTCATTCCTATTGCCAAGGGCCCCCAAAGGCCAATTACGGGCCAACGGGGATCCTTTTGGGAGCTTTTTCCTTGGGAGGCACTCTTTGGGGCCGCTGACGACCATGGGAATATTATGTTCAGGTTCTGTCTCGTGTTTGGTCTAACCCTGATGAAGACCCCGGAAGACATCGCAGAGGGTAGTCAGCCGAGGTCCCAACGTGTGCAACTCACTTCCTGAGTAGATCGGCAAACAAAGCCTTAAACAAACTGCCTAGAAATCGCCAAGTTGCGATCGCTTTGTTCACTCACTGTTGCCGGTTTTTGGATGGTAAAGTGCATTGGAAAAAAAAAGAAAAAAAGAAAGAAAACAAAACGATCGCAACTGGCGATCCAGGTGTTGCAGATCTTCAAAGTGGTGTTTGGAGTCCCACTTTTCAGCGCTGTCCCGGCATCCGCCGCTTGCTGCACATCTCTTGGCTAAGGATTCAAGCCCCTGAAACCGTTGAGCTCCAACACCTGGCAACCAACCAACAAAACCGGGGGTGGTTGCTTACCTTCGCTCTCCGTTTTCGGAAACCCCTCCTAAGAGTTTAGCTTGGGAAAATTCTGAAACCGTGGTAACACCTACTCTTCAAAGAACTTCCCATTTCTGGGCTGATTTGTTTCAGATCCCCGGCTAAAAGTAAGATCTTCATCTTGGGTGAGCTCGGAAAGGTCCTTTACATGGGATGACCATTGCGGGAAACCACCAGACAAGATGTTATGTTCCACGAAAACGGGCAAAACATACCCATGGCCATTTGGGGGACAGGAATATTGATCAATCCCATATGTCTAATGTCTAAGTCAACGTATCTGCTGTGTTTTTTTAACTATTTCGCGGCGAGCTCGTACCCCGATCTGGAACAAACTCTTGGTCCAAATTTGGATTGGCCGAGGGAGGCAGGTCTGAACGAAGGGTGAAAGGAGGCCCAGGGTCTTGTACCCGCTACATGGTAAAAGGAGCAGTTGAGACCTCACCTTTGCGAGTCAGCGCTGTAGGGGATCTTTTGTGGGCCCAAGAGGCAACATGGAGGTCGGAAAGCAGAGATGGCACACAGAAAGGTCTCCCTATGTTCGCCCTCACATCCATAGGCGTCCTTTTGGGGAAATAGATGGGTTTCCACGGTAGATGATTAAACCACCAAACAAACCAGGAATCGCCATCCATTCTTCTAGCAAAACAACCAAAAGGACACCTATGCTCACGTCCCTTTTTCCCTGAGTCCTTGTAGACGTCCGGGGGCACGTTGGGAAAAATGTCGCACCTGGGATCAAGATCGAGGCTTGGCAGCGGGGCCCTGCAACTCTTAGATCTTGCACATGGCCATGGGTCAAAATCCCGGTTACCCAGTGAACATCCCAATTCCCACTAAAATAGACTAATGTGGGCGGTAGGTGGTGCACCTACCCCAAAATGAGTCGTGGGATCACTCGGGGTTTATCCAACCACTTCCGTGATACAAGTTGGAATCTCCCCCTTTAACTGGGGGGGCTAGTCTTTGGGAAGCCCTTTCTGCTGTAGCGCAGAAGTGGTCATTTCCCACAGCGATGCAAAACAATGGCTTGCTAGTGCCAGTGGTTGCTCCCTTGGTTTCCATCCAAGGCGGTGCTTTCCCTTGGGTCCCGGAACAAAAACAGAGGGGCAAAAAAAAAGCGATCAGCGCGCACTTTGCTTTCATCTACGAGTTCCGAATTCCCCCCCCCCCCCCAACAAAAGAAACGGGGGATCGATCTTGACCCCCCCTCCCTCCCCCTTCTCTTCCGGGTGGTTCAGTGGTGAGAAACCGAAAAGCCGCCCTCCCCCCCCCCGCTGGCGCCCTCCCCGCGCCAGGCGCCAGGCGCGCCATGCGGCCCAGGCGCCAGGTCGCCTCGTTCTTCCCGGAGACGGTGCCGGTGGCGGAGCCGCCGATGGCGTCCACCTTGGGAAGGCTCTCCTCGGCGTATTTGTCGGATTCGCGCCCGGGCCGGAATTGGAGGTCGGTGGATGGGTAGGATGGGGTGGGGGAAAGTTGGACTTTCAGTTTGCGGTGTGGTGGGAGGGGGGGGTTGAAAAAATGATCCCAGAACAAGAGGGTGGGGAGTTTTCGGGGCCCCCGAAAATCGGATGTTCTCTAGAACCAAAATGACCCAAAACGCCGTCCAAAGCGAGAACAAGGGTCCTTCGCGATCTTCAGCGCCGCAAGGATGGCGTCGTAGTGGTACTGAGGGTCAGGGTTCGTGACGTCCCACTCCGTTTCCTTGGAGTAGACGACCTGAGTCGAGATATGATTCGCGCTAGGAGCGACAATCATGGGGGCTGGGGGAGGGTGAGGGAGAGAAAGCCCAAATAAGCCCCAAATAAGGCCTTAAGGGCTTGTTTGGGTCCCCCCCTCCCTCCCTCCCGCCAGCGCCCATGAGTCAAGATGTAGGGCTGCTCCGAACATGAAACAACCACGGTGTGAGCCGCAAATTGGTATTGGGCCAACCGCGTTTACACTGCTTCTCCCCCACGACACGGGTGTGTTTCCGAGCATAGAAGAAGAAGCCACTTCCATGTTTGGAACCTCAATGCGGCGATCGTTTGAGTAAAACCCGCCGATCAAGTGATTGATTGACTTTTTTTGATGTTATTTTGTGGGGAATCGAGTACACCACCCGAGTGAGGGAGAAAAAAAGAGAGAGAGAGTCAAACAGCCTGGGCTTCGGGTTTTTGGCCCTGCTTTGTGCCAGGAACCGAGGGAAGGATTCAACCACTACCTCCATTTGCTGAAGTCCCCCGGAAAAGAAAAAAAACAGTAGTGATACATTCCCCTTTAAAACCAACAGGGGGAAATTAAAAATATTCATCACCAAATGGAAGAGTTACCAGGGGACCCCCCCCATCTCTCAAAATTAACCGAGTTATCAGTCCGGGGCTCACTTTTGGCCCCGTCCCCATATCATAGGCTTTGAAGGATGCATCCAGAAACCACCCACTGCAGCGAGAAATCTGCATCAACTGGGACCCAAGGTGGTTTGACTGCGGAGCTGAAGTTCAAAAAATCGAGCGTCCGTGACTTCCATTTGCGTGTTCACCCCTTGGGAACGGAAAAAAATAGTAGTGACCGATTCCTTTTAAAACCAACTTTGGGGAAAATAACAACATATTCTTAAACAAATGGAAGATGAAGCTGACAACATTTTGAGGCTCTCAAGCTCGTCTTTGGTGGGTGGCAGTTTCCCCACAAGGCCCCCCCACCAACCATGCTGGTGCGATAGCTAGGGAATGACCGAGTGTCGAGAATAAACCGGAAGGGGATTCCCTCAAAAGGAAATCATAGAGATGGTTTATAGGGGGCATTTCCTCGTTCCCTGCTGAGAACCGACAAGAAACAACGACACAGACACGCATAGTCAAATGGGCGTGTCCATGCCTTTTAAGGATAGTGGATATAAAGGGAATCCAAAGGAAGCTAACCATGTTGTTGTTCTTTTTCTTTGGGAGGGAGGTCCCCCCATTTTAAGATAAACCCACATCCATGTTTCACAACAATGCGGATGCTAAATCAGCTTGCGATGTTCATGGCCGCGAGTCACAATACCCTAGATGAGACATCCAATACATCTATGGGTGGCTCGTCTGTTTTAGGATGCTGACCTCCCAAAAAAGGGGTGTGCTCTTCTGGTTGTCCTTTTAAAGCCAGCCAAAAAGGATGGGGTACCCTTGCTCCCGCCTTGCCATGGCAACTAACAGGGGGTCCCTCCAAGAGGCTGCCTCCCCAGAGTTGCCATGGGAGGAAGGGTACCCTCGAAAGAAGCGAAGGTCATATTGGAGGTTGGTTTTGAGAGCAGCCTATTGGGGGGGTTCAAGCGAAAACCCAAGGGAAACGTTGCCATTCCATCAGGAGACAAACGCATATTGCTGTTGGTAATCAGCTTAAACGAGTTTCAACCACTTTGGGCTTGTCGTTTTATTGGCCCACAGCTACTCCACAAATAATACGTTCAGGTGTTGTTTCATGTTTAGTCTACCCCACGATAGAATAGTGTTTTAGAGGGCAACCCAAGGCTTGAACCCTTTGGAATTGTCGCTTAGATCTGCCTTCAAAGGCCGGATTGCCCGGACAAACAATCTCGCACCCAGATCTCTGGGGTACTATGAATGGTCTGTTCCGAAGCATATCCAAATCTAAAGACTAACACTCCCAACCACCAATATGATGAAACCTGCATACGCTCCCAACAACAAGCACAGAACCTGCACAGGGGTGCCTGAAAACAAATGTCCTTTTTAAGGGGCAAGTTCCATGTTTGTATTGGGACGGTATTCCTTCTTTTCCAAGTCCTTTCTGCAGAGGCTCCCGCCCAAAACGCTGGACTTTCTCTTCGAATTGTGGATCCTCGACTGTTTGGTATTCAAAGGGAAAGGAAACGAAAGGGGCAATGCTGAGAAACCCACAGCCCTGCCAGATTTGCGTTCAACTGGCAAAGCCCAGGTGATAGCCCCAGCCCCGGCAATGCCTGGAACCGAGTCTCCAGAACCTAATTACTCTGAAAGTTGGGCCTATCCACCCAAAGCTCATGTGGGCCTATCCACCCCAAGCTTCCAGCTGTTGGTTGGACAATCCTTCTTTCCAGAAAACCTCCCGAAACGCAG